TACTAAGAAGAAGAAAGTGTTTTGAAGTAGATAAGCTTATAAGGGGCAGGGACTAGATAGAAATTCCAGGAAGAAAACAAATTATCTGTAAGCCGAAAAGTGGCAGAAATACACGCAATAGGACTTTTCTAGGAACACACAGATAAATGATGTAAGATGGATATTCTTTGCACTAGTTTCCTCAGTAGACGATAGAAAACAAATAATGTAGGTTCTTTCTGGTTGATGAGTGTCAGCTCAGTGGTGAGCTTAAATCTTTAGGCTTTCTGGTTGAACTTTTAAGTACACGTATGGATGTATTTCTCTGAGCTGGCATCGTAACTAAATTAGAACACACACAGTGATAGCACAGTAGCCAACGTGTAGAAAAAGCGTTCTTCAGCTTCAGGAGCATTTGTTCATCCAATAAATTTCTCAGATACCTTCAGAAAGTAATGAAAACAAGTGATACTAACTTGTATTTAACTTGCCTTTTTAGTTACAGTTGTTGAATTTGAGTTCCATCGTTGCAGTCACTTCAACTCAGTGGCTCTCTCTTGAGTTAGGGAAATATTTTCACCACTGTTTAGTCAGCGTAGACTGTACGATGTCCGTGGAGATTCTCAATCATCCAGGCCATGGTGGCCCCAAAGGTGCTTTTTCAAAAAGGCCACTGGACTTTGGTTTTCTTCATCCAAGAAGCTTCTTCAGCTCTGATTGAACGGTGGATGGAAGGATTTATATTCCTTGCAATCATCTGGTCGTTAGCACACTCTCTGAGAGTCGTTGAGGCCACTTGGACGTTTAGCTGTGCCCTCAGGGTCACCTGAATAGTGCCAACCTTCTTGGAACACGGTCCTTTTAGCACAGTGGTTCTCAACCTTTTTAATGCCGCGACCCCAACCGGTCGTAAGTCGAGGACTAAACCGGTCGTAAGTCGAGGACTAAACCGGTCGTAAGTCGAGGACTAAACCGGTCGTAAGTCGAGGGCTACCCAACCGGTCGTAAGTCGCGGACTTTCCCTGCCCGGGAGCGCCGCGCATGCGTGGTTCCGCCCCCTGCGCCGGCCGAGGCGTAGCTGGCAAGCAGCAGAGATGGAGCAGGCCGACCACCAGCTGGCCCAGCTCAAGGGAGGTAAGGCACCCGCCGGAAAAGGGGAAAAAATGGCGGACAAAAAAATGGCGGACAAAAAAAATGGCGGACAGCCTTGCTTGGCGACCCACGTGAAATGGTCGATCGACCCCAAATGGGGTCCCGACCCATAGGTTGAGAACCACTGTTTTAGCAGTTCCAAGAAGGTTCCACACCCATTTGCACTATTCAGGTGTCCCTGAGGGCACAGCTAAACCCCCAAGTGGCCTCAACAACCCTTAGAAAGAGTACTGACAACCAGATGACTGCAAGGAATATAAATCCTTCCATTCCCCCACTATTCAGTCAGAACTGAAGAGGCTTCAGAAGGGAAGGGAAACATCTTCAAGGAAAAAAAACAAGTTCAGTGGCCTTTTGAAAAAGCACCTTTGGGATAGGCTGTAGGAATACTTTGATACGAAACAGATGACTAAGAGCTGCAGGATTTCTCTGAACCCTTGAGGAATTTTGGGGTGTGTGTGTGACCCCCTTTCCTCAGAATGGGCTAGAATGGGAAATAGGGGATTAAAAAGTAAAATTGGGATCCTGTCCTAAAACAAAGTCAGAATTAACAGGCACACTTTCCTGTACCAGGATGCACTTTAAATACTGAAGTGCATGTATTGCCTTATTTCATTGGTTGGCAAATGGAAGTGTGACTTGATATAACTCGATCATATCATATCAATAGAATCAGTGCAATAGATCAACCTGAAATTATGGAATCAAGTAACGCTTCCTGAAATGAGTATCTAGCCATCTTCCCTTGGTATCAATTTATGCCAGCGAGCTGTGTAGTACACAGATACATCTCAGTGAAAAATCAACTCTGTGGCTAGTGTACGAGTGCAAATTGCTATCTAAACAAGAGTCTGAAACAAACACATGCTCTCTTCATTGGCTGTAAAATGCTGTTAGGGTAGCCTTAAGTAATTGGAATTTATTTATTTAGCGTGTGGCATACAATGTCAGGGAAATCTACAAACGCTAGACGCAACGCAGCCTAAACTGTTAGTTCATTCTGTTCAGCACTTGTGTGCTTGGTGCATCGCAGGGGGTGAACTAGCTTTAAACCAATTAGCAGCGTTTGCGTTGCTGGCTATTCCGGGCTCCTCTACCGGTCTCCCCTCGCCTTGTGTTGCGTTGCTTCGTGTCCAGCGTCCCCTTCGCCAGATCCAGCAGCATCTTCCCCTCTCTGCAGCTAGGTTTTTTTGCCCACCAAAATGCTACCCATTTATCTCCTCGCAGTATTGCATGCTTTCAAGCTGCTGGATAGGCAGGATTCGGGGAGCGGCGAGCAGCAGGAGCTCACCCTGTCTCATGGCGCCGGACTCGAACCGCTGGAGTGCAGATCATTTCTGGCTGGCAATCCCGGTATCCTTAAGCCCTGCGCCACCGCATCCCCTATGTGGTTGGGAATATGCCAACCATATTTCAAATTAAAAGATTTAGTAGGAGAAACGACCTACTACCAAGTAGTCAAAATATATACAGTACAAGGAAAAAGGAGAAATCCGAGGGTAATATCCACGGTGAAGAAAGGGTAATAATAATATTATTTATTGTTGGATGTAGCCCTTTTAAAGTGCAAAGTGCTTTACAGTTGTTAGCTTGAATTCCCTTGCAAAGAACCCTGGGGGTGACAGACTCCTCCATACAAGGAGTTTGAGGAATGTGAGACTATTCTCCTTGTGGAACATCAACCAAGCAGTGGATGAAGACACTAAACTGGGGATTTAATAAGGGATGTACAAGTCTATTTTATAGATTCCCTAAAATGTTTGTGTTACATCCTTGATTTCTTCTACAAGAGGAAAAAAAATAACCCAATCCATGGTCACTTTGTCTTCATCTATCAGTTCCTTTCAAGTTACATTTACATGTGTGTGTTTTGCCCTGTGTCTCTTCTTAGGGGTCATTGCATTAATTTTCCATTCTCTTTTACTAATGTCCTGTCTGTTTCTCTGTTTTGTTTTCTCCACTTGCTTTTAAGGCTGTACTAGGTATTAACTGTTTTTTTTTCCCTGCTGAAAAAAAACACACGGTTTACTTGCTTATGGGGATTATGTTGTTCTTGGAGAACGTATTTTTTTAAAAATGTTACATTTTAGTTGCTTGTCTGGTTTTGGCTTATCTCTTTTTTTTAATGCTTGATTAGAACAAGAAGATGAAGAAACCAGCACCGGATCACACCTAAAACTTATAGTAGATGCTTTCCTTCAACAGCTCCCAAATTGTGTAAATAGAGACCTAATAGACAAGGTAAAATGGCTATCTAATATTTATTTTTTCTTTTTCTTTTAAATTTTATTTGATCCAAATACAAAGAATACAAACATAACACATGTAAATCTAAATAAAAAACAGTATTAAAGATACAAATACTACAGTGCATCCACACCCCTGGAGACCATTTTTATTACCTATATTTCTTCTCATATAACAACTAACTATACACAATATATTTCAATTGTGCCTTTATCCCCTCCAAAACAGCATGTATTCTTGAGCAGGTTTATTCCCTTTGCCTTCCACCAAGTCTGTTTTTATAAAATCATCCCATATTTCATTATAATTATTTACTTTAATCATCCCTTTTTTAAATTTAAATTTCTGTTGTTCATTTATCATTTATTGCCATATTTCACTATACCACTCATTTTTCTGAATATCCCAATTCCGTCTCTAGTATTTACCATCACTAATCTAGCTGCCATTATCAAATTTACAATCAATTTCCTTCTTTGCTTCATTTATATCTTGTTTTTCCACCAGTAACAGTAAACTATCTAATATTTCTAACTGCTATTTCTATGCAACAAAATTTTCTTGATGTAGGTAGTCCTTGACTTACAACCAGAATTGAGGCCAATGTTTCTGTGGCTAAGTGAGACACCGGTTAAATGAATTTTGCCCCCATTTTACGACTTTTCTTGCCATAGTTGTTAAGTGAATCACTGTGCTTATTAAATTAGCAACACGGTCGTTAAGCGAATCCGGCTCCCCCCCGTTGACTTTGCTTGTCAGAAGGTCGCAAAAGGGGATCACGTGACCCCCCCGGGACGCTGCGACCAGTGTCATAAATGTGAGTCAGTTGCCATGGGTCTGAATTTTGATCACGTGACCCTGGGGTGGCTGCAAGGGTCTCGTGTGAAAAACAGTCATAAAGTCACTTTTTCCAGTGCCGTCGTAACTTTGAACGGTCACTAAACGAACTGCTGTAAGTGGAGGATTAGCTACATTGCACTCTGACCCCCTTTGATCTCCCCCAAATGAAGAAAACTTGGAGGCTTGTTAAAGCTGCTCTAACAATGAATTTAAATGGGTTTTAAGATCTACGAATGTGAAACTCGGGTAGAGAAAAGACATCTAAAATTTGTTTGGTTTACTAACAGCTGAAAAAAATATATGATTCTGTAGCTCAGTGGTTCTCAACCTTTTTAATGCCGCGACCCCAACCGGTCGTAAGTCGAGGACTAAACCGGTCGTAAGTCGAGGACTAAACCGGTCGTAAGTCGAGGACTAAACCAGTCGTAAGTCGAGGGCTACCCAACCGGTCGTAAGTCGAGGACTTTCCCTGCTCGGGAGTGCCGCGCATGCATGGTTGCGCCCCTTGCGCCGGCCGAGGCGTAGCTGGCAAGCGGCAGAGACGGAGCAGGCCGACCACCAGCTGGCCCAGCCCAAGGGAGGTAAGGCACCCGCCGGAAAAGGGGGAAAAAATGGCAGACAAAAAAAATGGCGGACAAAAAAATGGCGGACAGCCTTGCTTGGCGACCCCCATGAAATGGTCGATCGACCCCAAATGGGGTCCCGACCCACAGGTTGAGAACCACTGCTGTAGCTGCTCTCAGCCAGAAATCACTTGTTCTTCTCCAACACATAACTGGAATGTGATAGCAATGATCAGAAAGTGAAATTTATTATTAGTTTGCTTGGTTCCTTGCTTCAAATTTCGGATTTCAAGCCTTCTCTTCCTTCCGCAGGCAGCGATGGATTTTTGCATGAATATGAACACCAAGGCTAACAGAAGGAAGTTAGTCCGTGCCCTTTTCATAGTTCCTCGGCAGAGGTAAGCATCGACGTAAATGTTGCCTTTAAAGTTGGGTCTGAGATCTGAAGAGACGTGTGGGAAGTCGCATTTGGCCTAGAACAGCAAATTTTTCCCCATCTGCTTCCTTCAGATTTTAAAATCCGTTAATACGCAAAAATGGGAGATTTATTTATTTACTTCCTACACCGCCCCTCTCACCTACGTGACTCTGGATGGTTTACAACCTCATCCCAAAACCGTACAAATACACGATATAAAAGCATAATTTTTTTTTAAAAAAAAATGTTTTGCTTTGGGATTGTTGTTTGCGACAGACTCGTCTAAAACTTTGTTACAGATAAATTTGAAACAGCCATTGGATTGTTCAGAATAGATCTTGGAATATTGAAACTTAGTTGCTGAGTATTTTATTAAAACGAGGGTGATCAATAACATAAGCCAAATGCATATAAATAGCATATTGGTGTGTTCTAAGTCAGAGGTCCCCAACCTTTTGTTACAATTAATACATAATATATGTAATAACAGTTTGGTACTTATGTTGCAAATATCTAAAAATTAGATTAACAGTCAGGAACCCCTAAATCAGGGGTAGGCAACCTTGGCTCTTTTATGACTCGTGGACTTCAACTCCCAGAATTCCTGGGCCAGCCATGCTGAGGGGAAAGGGAGAGGTCTCCAAGCTGAGCCATGCTGGCTCAGGAATTCTGGGAGTTGAAGTCCACGAGTCATAAAAGAGCCAAGGTTGCCTACCCCTGCCCTAAATGTTATTTGAAATAGTACTTTACTGATGTGTTATCCTTTATTTGCAGGCTAGATTTGCTGCCTTTTTATGCCCGACTGGTTGGGACATTGCACCCCTGTATGTCCGACGTAGCAGAAGATCTCTGTTCCATGCTGAAGGGGGACTTCAGATTTCATGTATGTTTCCATTGGTTTTCCATAAATTCAAGTTGCCCCCATTTCAAAATGTCTGGCACCATAACAAGGAAACTCGCAGTACAAGGCCAGTGCTGTAACAGATTTTTTTTTTAAACATTTCATAAATTAGAATGCAAAATAGAATGCCAACACAGTGCTGGGCTGCATTAACAGGCGGATAGAATCAAGATCACGTGAAGTATTAATACCACTTTACAAGGCCTTGGTAAGGCCACACTTGGAATACTGCACCCAGTTTTGGTCACCACGATGTAAAAAAGATGTTGAGACTCTAGAAAGAGTGCAGAGAAGAGCAACAAAGATGATCAGAGGACTGGAGGCTAAAGCATATAAGGAACGATTGCTGGAATTGGGTATGTCTAGTTTAATGAAGAGAAGGACGAGGGGGGACATGATAGCAGTGTTCCAGTATCTCAGGGGCTGTCCCAAAGAAGAGGGAGTCAAGCTATTCTCCAAAGCGCCAGAAGGCAGGACAAGAAGCAACGGATGGAAACTAATCAAGGAGAGAAGCAACCTGGAACTAAGGAGAAACTTCCTGACAGTTAGAACAATTAACCAGTGGAACAACCTACCTCCAGAAGCGGTGAATGCTCCAACACTGGAAGTTTTTAAGAAGAAACTGGACAGCCATTTGTCTGAAATGGTATAGGCTTTCCTGCCTGAGCAGGGGGTTGGACTAAATGACCTCCGAGGTCCCTTCCAACTTTTATTATTATTATTATATTATTGCATAATCTTAAAGTTTGACCACGCAGGTATTCACAAACAGACTTATTTCTAAATCTTGGACGTGAAAGGACTTGTTTGAAAATACTGATTTTTCAGAGAATTCCAAACCTTGCTAGCCACCCCACAGACTGCCACATGGCACCCTTTCTTAAATTGCAGACTTTGAATAAACGAGGAGAACAGGCAATTGAAAAACTGCAAAAGATTTCTTTGGGTTTGTCCTAAGCAGAACTGGCAGCTGGTTTAAATTTTAGATGCTTGCCTTTTCAGCATGTTCACTGAGCTCAGCCATAAAAGACTCAGTACAGTAACTGCTTTTTAAATTTGGAATCTTAAGTACTTTCTTGTATGGTACCCATAAATGAAAAGCCAAAAATGGAGGAAGGGGAAACCAACTACTGTTTCAAAACATAATCATCAGTTGACTTGTGAATTCCTTTTCTTTGCGTTGTAAGTCAGAAGAAGAATTGTATTACAAACAACTTCGATAAATTAAATTCCATTAATTAAAACCAGAGCTGCCATATATTATGTACTTTAAAAACATTTATTAATTACAAACTTATATAGCAATTAAATAGATTATACTCGCTATCAAGGAAATATTGGAAGCAGGAAAAAAATCAGTTTTAATCTCAGGTTTTCACTTACGTAATGAATTTTGTAGTTAAACTTTTGAGTTCCTTTTTCTAAAGACAAAGTGTTAGAATCCAAGGGCTGTGTTATACACGCCTGGTTTTAAACTGCAGCTCAATACGTCACATTTAAATTATTGTTTCTGTGTCTATTTTAATGTGTATATTCTCTGGAACAATNGTTGACTGAACTTGTGGCTGTTTATGTGTAACAAAATATCTTGAAAATAAACCACGATCTTGTCTTCAGGTGAGAAAGAAGGACCAGATCAACATTGAGACGAAGAACAAAACAGTGAGATTCATTGGCGAGCTAACTAAGTTTAAGATGTTCTCCAAAAGTGACACGCTGCATTGCTTAAAGGTTAGTGTTTATTGATTGGATCCTGTCCCTTCATCACGACTAACTAGAGGTGATTATGCTTCAAAATAGGCTTGTGAAAGAGGATGTGCGTAATTAGAATTGTCTGTAATGATGCTGTCGAGCCCCGCTGGCCCGACATTCACGGGCAGACGGGAACCCGTCTGCTGAACCACCGCCTCCCTCCCGCCCTTCACGCCAGCCGGCGACATTCCCGAACAGCCCAGCTGGTAGGCGCAAGTCCGGGGGGTCGCCAGCTGATGCACGCAGGAGTTCGGTGCCGCGGCAGCCTCTCCTTCGCCCTCCTCACCAGCCCGAGCGGTCGCCAGACAACCCAGCTGGCTGGCGCAGGTCCAGGGAATCACCAGCTGATGGGCACAGGAGTTTGGCGCCACGGCGGATTCCCGGCCGGCCGCCTCATCGGCTGGAGCCATTGCCGGGACTTGCATGTTCGCTGGCAAGGAGCGTGTCAGCGGCCAGTGGGGACCACGCCAACGGTCCATCACCTCGGAGGCTTGGAACACGGAGGCGTGGGACGCAAAGCAGCGCGGTGCCGCAGGAGGCGGCAGGACAGGGGGGAGGGGTTACCTGATTCTGGACGCCTGCCTGTGAGCCAGCCGGAACGTGAAAAAGAAGCAATGTCCCGGCTGACTGCTTTTTGAACTATGCAGGCCAGATGGTGGCTTGTGGGCTGGGGGGTGGGGCATGCGCGCGGAGAGGCTATGTAAAGTGCTGGGAGCAGTTCACTCCCAGCGCTAACTTTTTTTTCCCACGGAGTAAAAGCCGTTTGTCAACCGTTCCTGCTTGCTGGCTTCTTTTCCTGGGCTCCAGGGAGGACGTCTTGACAGATGCTTTATCATTTAAACATTTCTGGTTTTTTTTTAAAAAAAAATATATTAAGGTTTAGTATTACAGATGGGAATAGAATATGCAAATGCATTCCAGCACCACATTTTACTTGGGTCCCAAAATAAGCTTTCTTGAGATGTAAAAGAAATACAGAGGATGAAGCACGCTGACGGCGCACGATTGTTTCATCACGAAATACCTTTAAACCGTGATGCAAATTTTTCACAGATGCTTCTGTCTGACTTCTCCCATCACCACATTGAAATGGCGTGCACTTTGTTAGAGACTTGTGGGAGATTCCTCTTCAGGTCTCCAGACTCCCATTTGAGGACCAGCGTTCTTTTGGTAAGAATTATATTATCCATATATAACTTTGTTCTAATGGTAAATATTCTTGAGGTGTGTATGCTTTTTCATGGAAGAAGAATATTCTTCACAGAAAGGATAGGGTCTTCGGATTTATTTAGGGAATTTGCAGTGGGTCAGCCCCACCAATAAGATCTCTTCAGGTACAGGTCTTCCTTCCTTCCTTCCTTCCTTCCTTCCTTCCTTCCTTCCTTCCTTCCTTCCTTCCTTCCCTCCCTCCCTCCCTCCCTCCCTCCCTCCTTCTTTCCTTCCTTCCTTCCTTCCTTCCTTCCTCTCCTTCCCTCCTTCCCTCTTTCTTTCTTTCTTTCTTTCTTTCTTTCTTCATATTATGGATCATTCTGGTGAATGCAGAAACTAATTCTAGGGCTGGAGTGAAATATTATAATTGGATAGTTGGTTTGAGGGCACGTGAAATAAGTAATCTTGGAAGTAAAATTGCAGATGTCTGTTCTTCCTATATTATCAGCCCTCCGGCTGAGTTCATAAGAGTTGCACTTTTATTGACAGTTGGCAGGGTGCAGGTTAAGAAATTAATTGTTGTTCAGTTGCTACATCGAGTCTGACACTTCGCGACCCCATGGACCACACCAGGTACCCCCTTGTCTTCCATTGTCTCCCAGAGTTTGCTCAGACCCACCTTCATTTTGTCAGTGTCCCTATCTAACCATCTCCTCCTCTGCCGTCCCCTTCTCCTTTTGCCTTCTGTCTTTCCCAACATCAGGGTCTTTCCCAAGGAATCCTCTCTTCTCTTTAGGTGGCCAAAGTCTGAGCTTCAGCTTCAGGATCTGAAAGAATTAATACCTCTTGGTAAATTAGTGAGGGGGTGCAATGGCTCAGCAGTTAAAGATGCTGACTTGGTTAGAGAAGCTTATCAAAACCAGGGTCTCGTTAAAAGTTTTATTTATTTCATGTATCAAATTCGGAACCCCCTCCATCTCACTCGCAGAGCGATACGACGTTGTAGCTTCCCTGCCCTGCATGATTTCACCTCTTGTTCCTAGGAACAAATGATGCGGAAGAAGCAGGCCATGCATCTCGACGCGCGCTACGTCACGATGGTGGAAAACGCCTACTATTACTGTAACCCTCCTCCCGCGGAGAAGACGGTCAAAAGGAAGCGCCCTCCTCTCCAGGAATATATTCGGAAGCTGCTCTATAAGGACCTCTCCAAAGTCACCACTGAAAAGGTTCCTTGTATATTTCTTCTTCTGCAGTCGTGATCGATGTGGGGAGAGATTAGCCCTTAGTTTAGGGCAGTGGTTCTCAACCTGTGGGTCAGGACCCCATTTGGGATCGATCGACCATTTCACGGGGGTCGCCAAGCAAGGCTGTCCGCCATTTTTTTTTGTCCGCCATTTTTTCCCCCTTTTCCGGCGGGTGCCTTACCTCCCTTGGGCTGGGCCAGCTTGTGGTCGGCCTGCTCCGTCTCTGCCACTTGCCAGCTACGCCTCGGCCGGCGCAGGGGGCGGAACCACGCATGCGTGGCGCTCCCGGGCAGGGAAAGTCCTCAACTTACGACCGGTTGGGTAGTCCTCGACTTACGACCGGTTTAGTCCTCGACTTACGACCGGTTTAGTCTTCGACTTACGACCGGTTGGGGTCGCGGCATTAAAAAGGTTGAGAACCACTGGTTTAGGGGAAGGATGAAATTAGGCAAGTGGCTAAATCAGTGGTCCTCAAACTTGGGCACTTTAAGACGTGTGGACTTCAGCTCCCAGAATTCCCCAGCCAGCCATGGCTGGCTGGGGAATTCTGGGAACTGAGGTCCACACGTCTTAAAGTGGCCATCTTTGAGGACCCCTGGGCTAAATGCATGATTTTAGCATTTATATTTCTCACTGTTTTGTAATCCTTAAAGGACGTTGGCCCATTCTGTAAATGAAGAACCAAGGTGGAAACCAGAGATTTAAAATTCAACAATGGCAGTTGAACTTAAAATGACAGTGTTGAACCAATATTGGATTCAGAGACCAAATAATCTTTCTCAGATTTCTTATAGATCATTAACTTCTTCCGCATAGTTTCCTGCGTTAAGTTTAATGTGTATGTTCTCCAGGACAGCATGCTTACTCAGTAAATAGTTTAAACCAAAATTTCTTAAGCTGGGACTACAGATAAGTTTAAATCTGTCACTAAAGTGCAACCATTTGGTAAGCTGGCTTGTTTGTTCCATCATTTGTTTGTGGCACCTTAAAAGAGTTTCTCTTGTGGAAAGTTTTTACCTGTCACAAGCTGGTAACAACCATTGTTCCATCTTTTAAAAAAATAAATGAAAAATCTTATGTTTTCCTTGAAAGGTTTTTGAATTTTGAGGGTCGCCTGTAGCTAGCAGGATGTGCCTAGAGTCCCAACAGATCTGGAATTTATTGTGGTAACAGGTCATGAAGAGAATACGAGTATCAAAAACAGTGTGGTTGTCTTGGAATATTAATCGAAAATGTTCAGACATAATTCTCTAGACCTCTGTTCAGCAGATGTTACGTGCAACGGACCAAATTTACTCCTGAATAGATCAGGAGCATTGATGCAATTTACTTCATTTGTGGCAAACTTATCTCACGATGTAAACTGATATAAATCATGTGTAACAATTCAGTTATTTGATTACACAGCTTATTGTAGTTTGGGGTTATTGCCTCTTACTGTTGTGATTCCGTGCCAGCCTGTGTTCCCAACAGCTGAGTCTGAGGAATCTGAGGAGGAGGTGGAGGAGGCCTTTGAGGGGCCGTCAGGGTCAGAGGGAGGCTCTGATGAATTACAGGACTCACGGCTTGATGAAGAGCCTGGCCCCTCCAGTCGTGTTTCTGATGCTCAGCTGTGTGAGGAGCATGAGTCAGATTCGGAAGGCTCACACCTGGATGTGCTAATTGATGCTCGCAGGCATCGTCAATTAGCAAGAGAAAAACAACAGCAGTCTATGCGACAACTCCAAAGTAAACGGAGAAGGCAATGAGAGGCAACGCCCTGGGACTGCTGTATAAAAAGGGGAGGTGTGGGCGTTGCTGGTTGCTGAAGGCAACCATTTGCAAAGTGCTTCTTGGAATCCTGGTCTGTTCGTCTTGTTTGCAATGTGTTCCTGTCGACTATTTCCTTCCTTTGGACTTGAGTTTTGCTGTTTGTGTTTTGGACTTATTGACAGGTTTGTCACCCAAATAAAAGGGATTTTGTTTTGTTTTAAAGTCTCCAGCCTATTGTATCAGCAGGGGTTTGGTCCTTGTGCCTCTAACAAGGACGGCAATAGGCTGGGATAGAACACTTACTCTCAGAGGGCCCATGAAATTTACAGTACTCTAGTACAGGGCTCCCCAACCAATTAAATTTATGTATCCAACCTTTTTAAGAAATGCTCTTGAGTTATTTAAAGTTCTTCAAAACTTTGCCTAGGTCCTGAGACAAATGCGCAAACTACCTTGGCATGACCACGAAGTGAAAGATTACGTGATATGCTGTATGATCAACATCTGGAATGTGAAATATAATAGCATTCACTGTGTAGCCAATCTTCTCGCCGGACTGGTCCTTTATCAAGAGGATGTTGGAATTCACGTGGTGGACGGAGTTCTAGAGGATATTCGATTAGGAATGGAGGTAAAGTCGCTCTGGGTCATAAAAATAAAGTTAAAGTATATTTAACTTGAATGTTCTTTTTTTTGTATAGATTTTATTAGTTTTTATAGGGTTGCGGATAAGGTGGGGTCAGGTTTAGGGTTGGGGGTTTTCCAAATAACATTTTCAATAATTAGCAAACAGCCTAATGTCTGGGTACATGTATTTAACTAGCAATAATAGATATAGCTAATTATCATAAACAATGGTGTTAACTAATGCTAGTACTGTATATATTCAAAATTACATTTCACGTTCCTTTCTCTCTGACTCGTTTTTCTAGCCATTGATAGAAATTATCCCACGTTCTAAAATAGTGACACTGAGTCTTCTTTCTCTTTAATCTTTTAAAGTCAATCTGTCCATTTCTGCACACTTGAAACGTTCTTGTGGTATTATGTCCTCCTTGTTAATGATAACGCATAAGTGCTTTTCAGAAGGAGAGACTTAAGCTTAGAACTAAATAGCTGCATCCTTGGTGTTGTAGCATCCTAGCCAAGTTCTTTTGCAGTGCTGAAACATAACTTTCTGCAATGTGAATAAACAGAAAGTCAGAAAAGATTTGATCTTGCAGTCTCCCTGGTGGCTCCCATACGTTAAGGAAGAAAAAAAAAGTGTTTTATGTCACCTATTGTGGTTTCACTTAGTCAAACCCTCGTTTGGAACTTTGCAATGAGACCAAGTGCTTATAAACATGCTCCAAACGCTCCAATTACATATAAACATAGAGGTATATAAACAGACAGCAAAACCCAGTCCCTTCTAGCACTGATGATGTTCCCTAGTTGGGTCATGACATGCCTACAAGAAAATATCCAAGCTCAGAGAGCAACGACCCCACAGTTCTCCTCCTCCTCCTCCTCCTCCTCCTCCTCCTCTGCCTCCACCGCCTCCTCCCCCCTTCTAGCAGTGATGATGTTCCCTAGTTGGGTCATGAAATGTCTGCAAGAAAACACCAAGCTCAGAGAGCAACAAGGACCCCACAGTTCTCCTCCTCCTCCTCCTCCTCCTTTTCCTCTTCCTCCTCCTCCTCCTCCTCTGCCTCCACCGCCTCCTCCCCCCTTCTAGCACTGATGATGTTCCCTAGTTGGGTCATGGCATGTCTACAAGAAAATATCCAAGCTCAGAGAGCCTCAGGGACCCCACAGTCGTCATCCTCCTCCTCTTCCTCCTCCCCGCTGCAACCCCCCTCCCTTCTAGCATTGATAATGTTACCTAGTTGGGTCATGCAACGTCTGCAAGAGAACAACCAAGCCAGAGAGCACCAAGGACCCTTCATTTCAATCCTGAGCTCTCTTTTATTGGAAGGAGAGAATGCTAACTGTTCTCTAACTCCACTTGCTGTTTTGTTCCTTTGAAGGTTAACCAGCCAAAATTTAATCAGCGGAGGATCAGCAGCGCTAAGTTCCTTGGCGAGCTGTACAATTACAGAATGGTAGAGTCGGCGGTAATATTTCGAACTCTGTACTCATTCACCTCGTTTGGGATCAACTCGGATGGCACCCCGAGTCTCCTTGATCCTCCAGAGCATCTTTTCCGAATTAGACTGGTCTGCACCATCCTTGACACCTGCGGGCAGTATTTTGACAGGGGGTCTAGCAAGCGAAAACTCGATTGCTTCTTGGTCTACTTTCAGGTAGGATAACCTTTGACCTCGCGATCAGCTTCGTCTTTACAAGCTACACATTATTTTTTTCTCTCTCTCTCTACCACGCTAAATAAAATCGACAAAAAAAGACCTGGATAAGAATGGCATAATTGAATCAGGTGGTCAAAAGGAAAAGAGGGGAAGGGAGGGAGGGAGAAAGGAAATGGATTAGAGAAAGTCCTGAGGATCAAATCCATTAAAAAAAAATCCAATGTCACATGCTATTGACATTACAGTGATTTAACCGCACAAATGTGTTTTCTAATAGCCAGATTTTGATGGCTTTCCTACATCCCCAAAATATTTGGGGCAAAACAAATCTTTGGGGTGGGGCAGTTATTGAGATTATATTCAAGACATGGGGTAGCATGAATATAATAGAACAGAACAGAACAGAGTAGAATAAAGTAGAATAGTATAGAATAGTATAGAATAGAGTAGAATAGAATAGAATAGAATAAAGTAGAATAGAGTAGAATAGAATAGAGTAGAGTAGAACAAAGTAGAGTAGAATAGAACAAAGTAGAATAGAATAGAACAGAGTAGAGTAGAGTAGAATAGAGTAGAGTAGAATAGAATAGAATAAAGTAGAATAGAACAGAGCAGAACAAAACAAAACAGAGTAGAGTAGAATAGAATAAAGTAGAACAGAGTAGAGTAGTAGATCGGAACAGTAGAGTAGAATAGAATTAGAATAGAACAGAACAGTAGAGTAGAGTAGAACAGAATAGAATAAAATAGAATAGAATAAAGTAGAATAGAGTAGAATAAAGTAGAGTAGAATAGAATAAAGTAGAATAGAATAGAACAGTAGAGGAGTAGAATAGAATAAAGAATAGAACAGAGCAGAACAAAACAGTAGAATAGAATAGAATAGAATAAAGTAGAACAGTAGAGTAGAGTAGAGCAGAACAGTAGAGTAGAATAGAATTAGAATAGAATAAAACAGTAGAGTAGAGTAGAATAGAACAGAACAGAACATATAGAGTAGAGTAGAATAAAGTAGAACAGAACAGAACAGAGTAGAATAGAATAAAGTAGAACAGTAGAGTAGAGTAGAGTAGAGTAGAATAGAATAGAATAGAATAGAATAGAATAGAATAGAATAGAATAGAATAGAGCTGTCTACTGAATGGAAAGAGCCATGCCACTGTTCTAATTCTATTAATTAATATTCATAAGTATGCCATCGTGTTGCTTTTGCTGAATCAGAATAACAGAGTTGGAAGGCTTTCTAGTCCAACCCCCTGCTCAAGCAGGAGACCCTGGTACCATTCCAGACAAATGGCTGTCCAATCTCTTCTTAAAAGCCTTCAGTAATGGAGCACCCACAACTTCGGAAGGCAAGCCGTTCCACCGGTTGACTATTCACCCTGTCAGAATCAGAGAAAGGGAAGTGACACATATTCTGCCTAGCTCTTTTTCTTAATCAACGGTCACTGATAAGTTTGATGTGATCAGTTGTTTTGTACAAGATTTTTGAAATATTAACTAACTTGCTGAAACGAGTTCCTAACTGATTCGACTAACTAGAGAAGCTGGGCGTTTACCATACAGTGTTATTTTTTGTTTTGTTTTTTGTTTCCAGAGGTATGTTTGGTGGAAGAAAAGCCTGGATGTATGGACAAAGGATCACCTGTTCCCTATAGACATTGACTATATGATCAGTGATACATTAGAACTGCTGAGACCCAAAATAAAACTCTGCAATTCTCTGGACGAATCTGTTAGGCAGGTACAAGAGCTGGAAAGGGAATTCTTAATCAAACTAGGTAAGACGGCTACATCAAGCCCAGAGGGAGCTGAAATCCCCCCTTTGATATTTTACATCTTTATAGCACTGTTTATAATTTTTGAGATGTCTCTGGGCAAGTGAGTATGAATGTTCCTCTTGTCTCCATAGGGTGGGAGAAAGTGCTTAATTGATGCGGATACAAGCTACTGTGAAACTCTATAGAGCTTGCCGCATACTAGTTTAATAAATTATGGCCCCTCAACCCAGTTTCCTGCTCTGGGTCAGCCTCTTCCTCACGAAGACGAATACAGCTAGTCCTTGACTTACAGCCACAATTGAGCCTAAAATTTATGCTTGCTAAGCGAGACATTTGTTAAGCAGGGCTGGGGAGTCGGTAGATAAATGTTCCGACTCCGACTCCTCAGTTTTTTGTACTTCCGACTCCGACTCCCCGACTCCGACTCCTCTGTATTAATATGCG